ATAAAGTAAAGACAATGGTAGTGTAGTATAAGTAGTAATATCATAAAGGTTGGGAGTCAACTATATAATAATGTAATAACATGTGAACAATAGTCTAAATTTTGAATACTTCATAGTAGGCAAAAGCTCTTCAGATTCAACATGCTTATTAGCTCCACAAATCTATAACCTTCAACTTTTGTTATTCTCTCCTTCTCCACAAATCAATGGCTGTTGGCTTAGCAATCCGTAAAGACGACAAAGGTGATTTGGCGTACAACGGCAAAATCACATGGTTTGTGTTTCTATCGTCTGTCGTAGCTGCCACCGGTGGACTCATCTTCGGCTACGACACTGGAGTTACCGGTAACTTATAACTATATAAATATCCGTTATGTTATTCAATCTTCGTGTTCATTTTCACGATTTTTTTAATTTTATTTCCTTGTTCTTCATTACTATATATCAAGCTTGCATCCAAGAAAACAATTTCATTAATTTCGTATTTCGAAATCTAGGTGGAGTGACTTCAATGGAGCCGTTCCTAGAGAAATTCTTCCCGGGCGTATACAGAAGGATGAGAGAAGATACGGATATAAGCAACTACTGCAAATTCGACAGCCAGCTGTTGACAGCTTTCACTTCCTCATTGTACATAGCCGGCCTTATAGCGTCCTTCTTTGCCTCGCCAGTGACGAGGGTGTTGGGCCGTCGAGCTTCCATCCTAATTGGTGGGGCCTCGTTTCTAATGGGCGCTGCTTTAGGAGGTGCGGCTGTGAACGTGTACATGCTGATATTGGGCCGTATACTACTTGGAGTAGGGGTTGGATTTACTAACCAGGTAACTAACTGATCATATATATGCACACAAATATATATAGGTGTGCCATAAAATATATAATATCTAAAGGATGACTGGATTCCGTTACAGTATGATTCCGTTAGTTTACTTTAGATGTTGGATATTCACGATTATTATTAGTCTTTACAATTTTATATTAACTTTACGCAGTCGGTCCCTTTATACCTCTCGGAAATGGCGCCCCCGAAATACAGGGGAGCCTTCAACATCGGCTTCCAGCTGTGCGTCGGCACCGGCGTCCTCCTCGCCAACCTCATCAACTACGCCACACAAAAAATCCGAGGCGGCTGGGGCTGGCGCATTTCCCTAGCCATGGCCGCCGCCCCAGCCTCAATCCTCACCATCGGCGGCATTTTCCTTCCCGAGACCCCCAGCAGCCTCGTCCAACACGACACCAACAATCTCGCCAAGCCAAAGAAGCTTCTCCAGAGAATCCGAGGCGTCGATGACGTGGATGCCGAGCTGGCCGACCTCGTGTCCGCCAGCCGCGCCTCCCAAGCCACGCGCGCACCCTTCCGGAAGCTTCTGGAGCGCCGCTACCGCCCCCAGCTGGTGATGTCGGTTGCCATCCCCGTCTTCCAGCAGCTGACGGGGATCAACGTCATCGCCTTCTACGCGCCGGAGATCTTCCGAACGATGGGGTCGGGAGTCAGCGCGTCCCTGCTGTCGACCGTCGTCATCGGCGTGGTCGGGACGGCGATGACGGCCGTGTCCATGCTGGCGGCTGACAGGGCGGGCCGCCGGTCATTGTTTCTCATCGGGGGGCTTCAGATGCTGGGCCCGCAAGTGGCGATCGGGAGTGTGCTGGCGGCCCGGCTGGGGGACACGGGGGGTCTCGGCGGGAGGGGTTACGAGGTCTCGGTTCTGATACTGATATGCGTGTACGTGGCGGGGTTCGGGCTGTCGTGGGGCCCACTCGGGTGGCTTGTGACGAGCGAGATATTCCCGTTGGAGGTGAGGTCGGCGGCGCAGAGCGTGAACGTGGGGGTGGGGTTTTTGTTGATATTTGCGGTGGCGCAGGCGTTTCTGGCGATGATGTGTCATCTGAAGGCGGGGATATTCTTCTTGTTTGCGGGGTGGGTGGGGGTGATGACGGGGTTCGTGTACCTTTTCCTGCCGGAGACGAAGGACGTGCCGATAGAGAAGATGGAGGGGATTTGGAAGGAGCATTGGTTTTGGAGGAGATATGTTTGTGATGATGATACTGATCATGATGGTGTTCAAGGTGTGGAGTGTGAATGAACGGACAAATGAATGATTGAAATTTGAAAGCTTTAATAATCTCATGTTAGCTTCTTTATTGTAAGCCAAATTCATATGTCAACTCTGCTAGATTTTCTCTCTTTCATATGTATACAGAGTTCTAAATTTATATCATCCTAACTAGAAGTAAAATATTCACTATTTGAAAAAGATTTTTATTGCACTGCATCTACGATTCCACGCTTGAAATAACGTTGATGCTCTTAATAACCCATAACTAAAAAAGGGTGGACTTTTGGGACAATCAAACAAGACTGCTGCCTACAGACTCAATTTATATTTTTTTATTATTATTATACAGTTTTTTGGGCTTGGCCCATTTACACAAACCAGGCCTCAATAACATTTGTTTAGGTTGGTCCATTTACACAAATGATAGGCAATTAACTTGTTAGATCAGGCAAAACACACATGCCTAATAGGCTTAACAGACAGCAGAGAGGAGATCCATGTGGCCACTGACATGAATTTGGAACAAGCCCAACACTGTTCATAGGATAATAATATACAACAATACTATAATATTAAAACTATATAACTTATAACAAGAGTTATCACGGGTAAACAAAAAATTCGAATCTTGGCCGTCTCAGTTATTGTTGCATCTACCGAAATAAGTTTTTTCAAATTGAAGTTGATAAGAAATTATCTTCGGTCAACTATGTCTCGTGATAGATTCAATGGCCTGGCTGTAGAATAGCTCGGATGAACCGGCCGTAGTTAGCTCGGTTCAGTCGTCCCTCGTGTAGCTCGAGTGAGTTGATTCAGATTAGCTTGGGTCGGGGTGAGCAATCGCTTATATGTAGCTCGTGTAACATGGTTATAACATCTAGTAGCTCGGACATAGACGAGGACCTTTTGATAGCTCGTGATGTGCTTGAGATGAGGACAGTTATATATGTAGACCTATGAAAAGTAGGTTGGTGGACATATTGATAGTATGTATATATGAGGAATATGTGGATAAGAGGTCATGGAACATACAAACAGTTTATATGTAAATCAACTAACAAGTGAATTTAGCCAACCTGCGGTTAGTTAGTGTAAGAAACGGGGGGAAAATGGGTGCGGTCCCACGCACGTAAAGCGCATCATAAGCAGGGAAAGTTCAGATGAAGTCCAAGTGAGGTCCATCCCAAAACCAATTGATGGAAGGAGAAGTAGCCAATTAGATTTATATATTATACCTATTTTCCTTATATAAACGATGTGGGATAACTCACAAGTGAATATTTCAATAGTTAGAAGTGTAGACCTATTGACAATGTTAGATGAACCTATTAACAATTAACATGGTAGGACCTTCGAAGTGTTTGTATATAACAATATTACATATGATACATAGGATTTTCCATTTATGCCCTTTGTTATGTAAAAAGAGATTATAAGTTGTCTTTTGTAATTAGCACTTTTGGTTGTAATAGGTTTAGTATAAATAGGGTGCATGCTTCTCATTGTAACCCTAATTCATTCACTTTTCTCTCTCAACTCACGCAGCTATGATAATCTTTCCCTTTTACTCTTCTCTCTGATTGTTCATCAATCTGTGTTCATAAATCTGTGTTCATGTTAATATGGTATCATTCGCCAGAGATTCCTGACGCTTCCGCACTCTAAATCTGTTGTTTCTGTTCTCGTCTTGATCGATTTCCCCATTTTTTTTCGCAATCGCGATCTGTTTTTGTTCTTGTGATCGATTCTATACTCGTCACTCTCTGAAATGGCGCTCAATCCGTCTGATGATGCATCCTCGCCGTATTACCTACATCCGAGCGACAATCCCGGCGCTCTAATCATCGCCGAGACCTTCAACGGCGACAACTACGTCTCTTGGAGTCGCGTTGTGGTCATGGCGCTGTCTGTCAAGAACAAGCTAGGGTTCATCGATGGATCCATCACGATTCCATCCTCTACTGGTAATCCTGTTCTTTACCTTGCTTGGAATCGAGCGAACAACCTTATTCTCTCTTGGTTACTGAACTCTATCTCAAAGGATATCAGACAGTCTCTCCTGTTTTTTACTTCTGCTCGTGATGTATGGGATGAAATTCGTACTAGATATGCTATGAGCACTGGTCCTAGGGTTTTTCAATTAGAGAAATCGCTTAGTACTATTGATCAGGGGTCTATGACTATTACTCAGTATTACAACAATTTTAAATCTCTGTGGGATGAGTATGTTACGTATAGGCCATTGTTTAAATGTACTTGTGGTGCCTTTGCTAACTGTACTTGTGACTTGTTTGAGGCAATGGTTGTTGCACAGCAACAAGACTCTGTCCTAAAATTTTTAGTTGGATTACATGATTCCTATTCCTCACTAAGGAGCCACTTCTTACTGTCTAAACCAATTCCATCACTCTCCACTGTATACTCTTTTCTCCTTCAAGAAGAAAGCCAAAGAGCCTTATCCAACACTAAGCCCCCTGATTCCCTTGCAATGTTGGTCAAAACCTTTCCACCACCTCATCCTACAAATCCAAACTCTCAGAAACCTACAAACACTTACCAAAAATCCCAATACTCCAAGACCAACAATCAGAAACCATCATTCACTTATCCAAAAGACAAACCACGCCCTAAATGCTCCCACTGTGGTTATAACCATCCCTCTGAAAGATGCTATCAAGTCATTGGATACCCTCCCAACTGGGAAGGACCAAGAGGTCCCAGAATTCACCCTAACCACATTGTCAATGATGCCATTGCTGATAACACAGTCACAAACTCTACTACTACTTCAGATTCCCTTACTAACAGTTTATTTCATGAGTTTCTAGAGTTTAAAAAGTCTCAGGAAAGTAAACTTGTAACTGGACCCAACTCAGCTGCACCTATGATTGCTACTGCTTATGCTGAGCCTACAGGTAAGTTTACTATTCCTTACTGTAATGCTGTTAGCAAATTGTCTAAAACTACATGGATTTTAGACACTGGGGCCACAGATCATATGTTGTGTGACATGTCATTTTACAATGCTAATCCTGTCACTATTCACACACCAATAAACTTGCCCAATGGAAATCAAACTATTGCTACTCATTCTGGTCTTGTCAAATTATCTGATCACATTATCTTACAAGATGCACTATATGTGCCAAGTTTCAATTTCAATCTGATATCTGTCTCCAAACTTGCTGCCACAAACAATTGTTGTGTCCAATTTGTATCATCTCATTACATATTACAGGACCTATCAACTCTTCAAGTGATTGGTTCTGCTGACCTGAGAGATAGCCTCTATCATCTCTCTGTACATACTGCATCAAGTTGTAATAATTCTCAAACTGATGTTTCAAATTTAGTTGAAAACAATGTAATTTTTCCCTTACCTGTAAATGTTGCAACTACTACTTCTGAGAACTCTACTCTATGGCATTACAGACTTGGCCATCTTTCTTTCAATAAATTGAATATTTTACCAATGTGTGCATCCAAGTGCATTAATCATACTTCCATACCTTGTGATGTTTGTCAATTTTCAAGACAAAAGAAACTTTCTTTCTCCAATAGCATTTCCACTACTTCTTTTCCATTTGAACTAATACATTGTGATGTATGGGGTCCTTTTTCAACTATATCTCACTCAGGTTACAAATTTTTTCTTACTATAGTGGATGACTTCTCTAGAGTAACCTGGATATATCCTCTTACTCACAAATCTGATACAAAAACTCATTTAACTCATTTTTATAACATAGTCTCCACTCAGTTTAATACAAAAATCAAATCTCTTAGATCTGACAATGGCACTGTGTTCTTATTACATGATTTCTATTCTCAAAATGGCATCATACATCAAACTAGTTGTGTAGAAACACCACAACAAAATGGCAGAGTAGAAAGGAAGCATCAACATTTATTACAGGTTGCTAGAGCTTTAATGTTTCATGCACATCTTCCCTTATATTTTTGGATTGATTGCATTTTGGCTGCAGCACACATCATTAACAGAGCTCCCTCCTCTGTCTTGAACAATAAATCTCCTTTTGAAAAACTTTTTAACAAAGAACCTTCTTATGATCATTTGAAAGTCATTGGTTGTCTATGTTATGCATCCACCTTATCTGCTCACATATCTAAATTTCAACCTAGAGCTTCTAGATGCATACTTCTTGGTTATCCACTTGGTTGTAAAGGCTACAAACTTTACAACTTGGATACAAAGAAAACATTGATCTCCAGAAATATAAATTTTTTTGAAGATGTCTTTCCTTTCAAAACATATGACTTGCCTTATCCTCATCTATTTCCACCTCCCTCACCCACTGTATATGACTCCTCATTCCAGACTATCTCTAATACCCATAATACAACCCCTTCTCCCACTCACATCCATACTGCACCATCTTCTCCATACTCCAATCAGAACACATCACCTTCTCTTGTTTCAATTCCTATACCTGTTGCTACAAACAATAATACACCTACAAACTCTCAGCCTTCTTCTCCTTCTATTTCAAACCCCATCAGAAAATCTACAAGACAAAGAAGACCTCCTCCCTACTTAAACATATATGATCACTCAATCCCTTCAACCACATCTTCAAATTTAACAATTTCTGGAACAACACCTTATCCTATTTCAAACTATTTGTCCACATCTCAACTTTCTGCATCTCATCATTGTTTTACTGCATCCATACATCAACATATAGAACCTAAGACATATGCACAAGTTGTAAAGAACCCTCTATGGCAAGAGGCTATGCATAAAGAACTGACTGCCCTTGAACAAACCCACACTTGGGAATTAACTAATCTTCCCCAAGGAAAACACTGTATTGGGTGTAAATGGGTGTTCAAGGTCAAATACAAATCTGATGGCACAGTGGAGAGGTATAAAGCCAGGCTTGTAGCCAAAGGCTATACCCAAGAAGAAGGTATTGACTATTTTGATACCTTCTCTCCTGTGGCCAAAATAACTACAGTTAGATTCTTAATCTCATTAGCATCCATTAAAAAGTGGCACATCCATC